TGTGTGTGTGTGTGTGTGTATATAGATATATATATATATATTTGTGTATAACTTTTGTAGTTTGCAAAAGAATTGTATAGAAAGGTGAAATGAAGTAAGAGCTTTGTCCTTTGCTCAATCACAGGTGGCTAGTGTTCACAAAAGTATTCTAAAGTAAGTGGAGTACATGCAAACATATCGTTTATTTTTGTCATCTGGTTTGTCTTAATCATGATCTAAAAATTCATTTATAAGCCTGTATACAAAATGCCATGTTTATATCAATATCATATGCTGCTTACTTGGAACAGTACACATTAAAATGAAGAACAGAAATCTGTGTAATGGTCAAAGACAACCAATAACAAAACCACTAAATTCTAGTTGTCAAACATAATTTACCATGTATATTTCTTCATTTCTTCTGATAAAACAGAAATTATTAAAATTAAAGTGATATGGGTGAGTGTTTACGGCTTCCTTTAAAACTTTGACTTACAGCGGTATCTATTTAAGCTAAAGGCAGAAAAAAAAAATCACACAGAGAGCTCTGTGCAATGGCCTAGTGACTTTTTATCCTCCTGTCAAACCTCAGCAGTTTTATTTGCGGTGATACATGCTGAAGAAGGTTGGAGGTTAAAGTTGATAGGAGGGCCAACAGGAAGGCCAACCAACTTCTTTCCAAAGATTACATCCCTTAATGTATTAGTGCCTGTTGGCAGCTGTTGCTGCTGACTTTACAAGGGGAAATTTTATATACTCATTAAACCAAACCCCAAATTCTGGATCATACCAATAAAGCAAATACCCTTGGAGCTTTTATCATAGAGACTTCTAATATTACAATCACATATGCTAGAGCTGTACAATGATTGTTGGATAACTACTATGAAGTTGAAAAAGTTTTTTTTTTTTAATTTTCAGAAAAGATTACTGGTACAAGGGAGACTAGAAGCTTCTTCAGAGAAGAAAATAATCTTAAAATAATGCAGTAAGACTTTATTAAATTCACAAACCAGATGTTGACCAAGATTTTGTTGCCAGGCACTTTGGAAAGTCAAAGCCACAATTTCAAATTTTATTTATTTATTTATATTTCAAATTTAGATATTGGTCTTGAGTTTCAGATTTTCTAAAATAAATCTCTGCTGGCTATCTTTTGTTATCACCTCCCTGTTTCAGGAAGGAACAGCTTTCTTAAGACAGGTTCCTTTCAAAGCAATGAGTAATATAAACTTCCAGTATGTTCCTCTATGCTTTTAACATCAGATCATCATTTGAGGCTTGCTCTGTGAAACCGGCTCCTGAGCTGCTAGGTGGACAGTGACTACTGGACAGCAAAGCTTTTCAGTGCCAGGACTTTTAAGAATGTGTTACATTATATGCTGCTATATTTTAAACTAAAACATACAATAAAACATTATGTAAAATATTCAACATAAAATACACAGTAAGAGCAATAGTTAAAGAATCAGCTAAATAATAAACATAGCAATAAGGAGAATTTGAATTTTATTTAAAGTGCTTTGAGATTGTAATACAATTTTATCTAAAAGTTTTAAAAACTCCAGTAATTTAAAAACGTGCTGATTTAAAGCTACAGCTGAGGCTGACTCAAGCTCTACCAAACCCAAGAAAATGTAAACTAAGAGTTAATAGTGTTACTAGTAGTGATTTTTCTGCAAATATTAATAATTGTAATCCTCTGTGCACCTACAATGTTGTGTTTGGATGGAAGATCTGAGGCCAATAAAGATGCTTCATTGTATTAAACTTACTTTGTCTTACAAAGCACTGTCCTGCTAGAGGTACTGCCTTTGTATCCTTTCCCCCCTTAGCTACATTATTTTTTAGCAATTTTTTAAAAAAAAACTTCCATTAGCTTCTGAAATCAAGTTGGATTTTTTTATGCTGAAATATAATAGAAGGGACCTCTTCTCACATACGTTCTTCCTGGCAATTTAAAACAAAGAGTGTGGATTGCAAATGGAGACAGCAGTCAATCAAATTACATGAACTCCAGCTTTTATTTCTGGCCCTTGGCAAATGTTCTAGGTTACCAGCAGAAACCCTTCCTGTTCTGAAGAAGTACACTATGCTTATCTGTTGTCTTATTTTTTAAGAAGACTTTGAGGTTCTTTACTACTTTGAGAGGGTGCTTTGCTTGCGCTAACATGCTTTGTGAAGTGCTCTCAGGAATGCTTTGTGCTGTCCTAATGGATAGCCATAATGACTAAGTATTAGCCCTGGGATCTGAGTTACTACGCTTCTGAATATCAGTGAGAAGGGTACATGAGTGGAAGATATACTTATGCTCATGTTCTGTGTCAGTGTTTTACAGGAGGTGATGTTTGGTTCTTGTGAGGACAAAATGCTGCTTTCAGATCCTTGCCTCAATCATGACTCTTCATATGCTCTTCAAAGATCTAGCTCACCATACCTTAAGGCAGTGTTTCTCAACCTTGGCAACTTTAAGATATGTGGACTTCAGCTCCCAGAATTCCCCAGCCAGCATTTAAGCTCTGCCTTAAAGAGTAGAACACTATAAGGAATTATTGCATCTTATGCAGTTATTGAATATTTGTTTATATAATCTTTACCATGATATTCTCAAAACAATTGAAAAACAAAATCCACCGGTGAAGCATATTTATTAAGAATGAAAGTTATCAGAAGGGATATGTAAACATGAAGAAACACTGTTATTTAGCAGCTATTTGTTTTCTCTACAAATGTAGGTTCTTGACTATGGTGGATAATTATAACTCAACATGGAAAGATCATCCCTGCAAAAATGGCAACATCATAGATTCTCAAAAACAGTTAATTTGGGGATGGGCTATGATCAATCACTGCACTCAATATATTAGAGACTTGGAAGATCAATTTGCCCTAACTATAAATGTGTTTTTGAGTAGTCAAGCTGTCTTCTTTAGTCTAGCAAGATATTTAAATCAAATAAGTGTTCCTAAACTCCAAAGACCACTAACATTAGTATGTTTTAATGCTCATGTAGTAGTTGTTTTGGAGGGCAAATACAAATAAGTTCCATATGAGCTAAGTTTGTGCCCCATGTGATGGACCCATTGAATCTATGGGCCATATTTTGTTATATTATGCCTTCTATAAGGATGCAAGAACCCACTGAATACAGTAGCTTATTTGGTGAAGTATCCAGACAGTTCTGAATTGTTTTATGCACAGCTACTCACTACTTCGGTGAGGCCACTATGATTCAGTTTCCTTGAATGTACAAAATGTTTGTTATACTGCCTGTAAAACTCAGCACACCTTGTTTACTTTATAATTACAATTTCATATTTGTGCTGTGTTACATTTGAAACAGAAGTTATTTATTTGTTAACCTGCATAATTCTGGTCAATGACGGTTGTAAAGAACTAACTAGCTTTTTATGTACAAATATTTTAGAAGATTCATGGGAACTAGGCATATAAAAGGACAACTACCTTATCTCACACACAAGACACACACACACACACACATTTGGATGGAAAGCTAAAAAGGAAGAAAAATATTTTATTTAGAACTTGAATATTTTATTTAAAAAGGTTAAAATCAGGATATCAGGTTGTCTGATTAAATATGAAAGGAATGACAGAAATACTGAAAAGAAGATAGGGAGATTGTTGAGAAAACATTGGGGATACACAGTTCTAAGAGTTCTGCTGCCAGGTCTAGGACCATATAAGCTGCAGAAAGCTATTATGAATGTCTCTACAGCAGTGGAGCTCGCCCTTTATGCACTCACTGAGGCAATATGCACACTGCAGGACCAAATAGAGGATACTGACCATCTCAGAATGGACAATAGGCTAGTCCTAGATTATTTGTAATCTAGGGGGAGGGGGTAAGTTTTAAGGTTTTAAATGAATGGCTACTGAATAATTCAATCTATGCTTGAATTGTCAGAATATGTGAAATGTAAATATTCACCCTATTAGATCACATTCCTTACCAGAGTACTAGAAAAAAGGCAAAATAATATTACTGTATAAAAAATCCAGAAAGATTCCAGGAAATTAAAGGAACATTACTCTTACATTGGGGAAACATTATAAAAACGTACAGAAGAAAAGTCCTGTATAGGAAGAATAAGTGTAACATCAGTTAAGAGAAGGCCTGCATTACAACCTTTCTGGAATTCTTTGGGAAATCATATATATTGGCTATGAGGCAAGAATACTCTCCTCAGAATAATGGGCATAAAATAAAATCTCCAGTGTTTGAAAGTGAAGGGCTATGTGAAGCATTTGAAAAAGGTATATCACACATCATGAAATGGCTATGAGTGCACAGGCCTGTGGAAACAGCTGGGTAGTTTTTGAAGCAATTTGCAAGAGACAAAGCTACTTTAAGGAAAGTAAAAGCTTTCGTGAACCTGAGACATAAAAATAATGTTTGAATATTCTATACTTATTAAATTGATAAAATGAGGTGTAGAGGGAAAAAAAAGGTTCATGCTTGCATTCAACTAATTAGGAGATGTGCATTTTAGAATATGTTTATTGCATGAAAATTCAACAGGCTTTATTGTGGAGAACTAGTTGTATATGTGCACACTGCACTCACTCAAGCCACTATTGATGCAGCAGCTTGGTGGAAAAGGAATCTTAAAGAAAAACAGTTAAAACCAAAATAGTTAATTAATGATGCAACAGTGCAGCACAAGCTAATAAAAGGAATGCTTCTTGGGTAAATTATATCATTGTACAAAAATTACAGAACTATATAATATTTTGTTATCCTGAGAAGTTAAAAATTATTCTAATCTTCAGAGCCTGCTGATATATGAAACCCTTGAGTTTATGGAAATATATTTTTAAAATGCAAAGTTCAAATCTGACATAGAAATTATATTCAGTAATGGATTCAGAACCAACTTATACTAAAAGCAGCATGCTACGAGTACAGCATTATGGAAATGAATGTATATGCCATTACTGTTTTTAGCTTGGCTTCCATTTACTATTTCTTCCTCTTTTATAGAGGCAGACAACTCTTAGTGGCCTAGGATCCCATTCCATTTGACTCTGCCAACTCAGGGATGAAGGGAAGTTGTGGGGAGAACCATAAATGGAGACCGGTAAGATTTTTTTAAAATTAAAAACTCATTAAAATTAAAAGTTAATTCTTTAGAAAGAGTGAATTCTGAAGGCATTCTTTGTCACTGAAATGATAGAGAAGGTTCTAGGTGCCATGCTACAGGACATGGAAACTCTATAGGACCTTCAGCTGTCCATTTATATTTTACTGTCTTTCCTCTGTGAATTTTAGATTCAATGGGACCTATATGTTTTACTGACCCTTTGCAAAGCATCATACTGTAGATTTGAATGGTTTTATATTAATAATGTTTATTGTGTATCTCATATAGCTTATCACTTGCCCATTAGGATACTTTAAAGTGATCCAGAAAGCTGATATTTTGACATATATTTGTCTATTATACTGATTAAGAGGGACTTCTAGAAATATCAGTGTTAAAATTATGGCCCAAATGAAATATATCCAGGAAATTAATTATCCATCCAATACAATACAGAGTGCTCCACAAACTTCATCAAGCATTAAGACTTTCAGGCAGCAATGGAATATAAGTTCCAGTTGACAGATGGTGAGCATCTCCGCTCAAACGTCGTTATGGTTTAAAGAGTACTATGTACAACTGATGATTCTTTGAGTCAGTTTGGTCTAGTGGTTAAGGCTAGAAAGCAGGAGACTGTGGGTTCTAGTTCTGCCTTAGGCATGAAAGCTGGCTGGACGATTTTGGGCCAGTCACCCTCTCTCAGCCCAACTCACCTCATAGGGTTGTTGTTGTGGGGAAAATAGGAGGAAGGAGTATTAGGTATGTTCGCCACCTTGAGTCATTTATAAAAAATAATAAAGGCAGGATAAAAAATCTAATATATCTATATCTATATCAAATATTAAGAAGTATACATTATTCTCTATTACATAGAAGAAAGATTTAGGAATCATAGACAATTTGAAGGATAGTGTGGGATGGTATCATGAAAAAGTATATATTTCCTCTAAGATGATAATTAAGAATTAAAAAAAAAATAGTAACCTTTGCTTCTAAAATGATGCTGTACAAGTGCCACCCATTTCAGTAGCTTTCTTTTTTTCTCTCAATAGATCAAATCCATTATAACCTTCTTTCTCATCTCTTTGTGCCCATTTTATAACCCATCGAGACCAATTTTTGTCCACTGGATATTTCTGTAGTTCAAAGCATGAATTACCCATTCTACTTTCTTTTTGAGTCATTTTTTTCCATGTTTGCTCCTGAACTGAGATCCTTATGCTCTGCTACTTCCACAGTAATGCTACATTATAATCAGTGTAGTGGAATACATATGGGATACATTGATTGTATATAATTTTACATTAATACATTCCATTTAATGGGACAATTATTGCTAGTATATAAAGATTAACACAAGTGGAACCACTACTGTGTAATGAAGCTTTTCTAGTTTCCATTCTACAGTTTCCCCATGCCCCCAAAAGCTGTTTGGGATGGTTTAGCTAAAGCAGTGAGGATAAACAATGGAAATATTTCTTTGAAAAACTGAGCTGAATTGCCTTGTGCAGACCTGCCTTTCTACTTAAACAGGACATTCTGGAAACAAGCACTATGCAGTAGTTCAAAAGATACATAGGATTTTTGAAAAGATTGCATTTAATTTTATTAATTTTATTTTATTCAGGAGATATAAGCAGTAGACTTTTTTTAAAATTGTGAAATAATTCAGGCTAATTTTTATACTTAATACAGTCTTATTTTTGAAATATGGAATTTTGAATAGCTATAATATGTGCAGAAAAACATGTGTTGAAGATGTACTTTTGTGAAGTCAATTTAAAATATATAACTGGTAGATAAATTCATGCAATACCTGGTTATGACCTGGAGATGGTTAGTGTAATTGATAAACCTCCCCTGCTATTGCAGGAAATGAAAATTGCAAAACCTTCCAATCACAAGAAAAGGCTGAGGAAAGGAGCCAGCCTCTAAAATATGAACAAGCTAATGCCAAGACTATTAACAAACAGCCAGATAGTCAGGCTGCTCCTTTCTTAGTATACAAAAACCAGTTTAGTTATGCATATAAAGATATTTGTAAGCCTTAACATGAACACACAGCATTTTAAAAATGGCACAAGTACTATTCCAGAAGCAATGACACTATAATCACCTGTAACATGGTTGAAACTGTAAAGAAATAAGAGAATGTACTAATGAAGCATGTTTGTCAAATTAACCATGTTGCTTCTAGTTTTCACCATACATGGGGCACTTTTATATCAGAGACTTTTAGCATGTCTTCTGTACTTATGTCTTGATTTAAGACGGAGTGACAAATTCATTTATGAGTATATACTACAGTATATATTCCAACATCCTTATTCATCTGTATAGAAAAAAAGTCCTTACTACTTTAAAGTTCACTTTTGGTATTTATCTGAAAAGATGATGATATTGAATTCAAGATTTCTAAAAAGGAAGAGGAGAAGTTGAGTGATACTCTAAAACTTAAACATGGCTCTTTTCCATACAACTCGTTATAGAAATACAGAGAGGAACCCATCTCATGTTTGTTTTCCTGTATAGAAACTAGCCTTAACCTAAAGAAAACTAATATTTTCAATCCTGAGTGAAATCCCAATTGATCTGAATGTGCTTAAGCTCAAATAATGCTCTCTAAATTAGGATCAAAGTTTAATTTTAAACAAACCAACAAACAAGAATCGCATAAGTCATAAGTGTAGTATCTCCCTTTTAAAATATGAATTATTTTCAAGAGTTAAAATCAAGTAGTTACAATAAATGCTTCTGAAATCAAGTAGTTACAATATTCTTGATTCTGAAATCAAGTAGTTACAATAAATGCTTTGTTTTTATATTCAACCAGGAAAGTTGAGATTATACAGAATAATTTGTAATGGAAACTTAAAAAAAAAGTAATGGAAAAGTATAGGAGATTTTTTGTAAATTTATGTAAGTTATACTACAAAACTAACATTTATATAATAAAGTAAAGCATTAAATACTATAACAGTAACTAGTTTTACTAACTGTAGAATTAAATAAATGAAAAAAGTGTAGTAAAGTATACTCCTTATATAGTCTATTTAATTAGAAATTCTCAAGTCTTACAATATAAAAAGTTTAACTTAATTTTGTTTTCATGTATATGTATAATAAAGTATATAACAGATTAACCTTTTAATTAGTAATACACTTTTCAAAAAGGTTTACATTTTAATAATGTGAAACAAAGCCATGTGACAAGCTCAGTAGCAGTTTGAGATAAAATTTTTAAAAATCTAGAGGGGAAATTGAAAGTATAATGCATGATGGGCAATTAAGGATATATTTTGACAATTCTAAGTGGTCAAGTTTTTAAAGTATGACACTGAAACCTTAACCTATCCATATAGTAGTGATAAATGAGGCATTTTGTGTCATTACAGTCCCATAAATCACTTTCTTTAACTGCTGATGGCTTTTATCAGATCTAACCTTTTCAAGCTTCTACCAGAGTGCTAACATTTTCAACTCTGACATACGTGCAGTTTACAAATTCTGCAGCTGATTAACTCTGGACAGAAACTCACTGTCATCATTGTCTTCATTCAAATAGATTCAGGTCTCCAAAACTCATAGGGACTCTCAGTGCACAAACAAGAAAAATGAAAATACACAAATGTTGAGGAATTTTAAAAAAAAGTATTACTTTGGGATCCCCTTATTATCTTACTTTCAATTCTGTTCTTGATCACTGATAAATATTAAGCAAGACTTAGAATATTAGAAAGTATACGGACAAGAGTAATATCTGGTGGTCTGTAATTAAATTACATAAGTTTACTAATAGGGTGTATACCTTTTTAAAAACAGATGTTACATAAAATTGCAAATCAGCATTTTTTTTTAAGGTTGAAAAATAATTATTCAATACATGCTTTCTAAAAATCTATGTGTAAATAGAGTAATATAGCAGGAAGAATGGCAATAACAATGGTTAAAGGGTACTTAGATCTGAAAAAAGCAATGTAGGGAAACAGTATAAAAACCATGATTCCCAACAGATGTGAGAAATAACTAATTATGCCATTGGCCATGTAATCGTGAATATATACAAAATTAAAAGTACCATATAATATGAAATACTTCATCTATCTTACCTATTGTAAGATCTGTAATTTCAAATATAATCACAGTATGGTATACATAAATTTTGAAACACTCTGTCTTCTCATTGTGTATGCTTTTATGTTTAAAAATATAAGATACACTTACATAAATTGGGATAGATACAGTCAAGGAAATAATGCTAGAATTGTAACTGATACAGACAGTGAAGCAATCCTCAAATTTAAGGCGGAGGTATTGTATTCAGTAATGCTGGTCACACTAAAAATCTTGATATTTTGTGTGTGATCACTGGAAGCTTCCTATTTCAGATAGGATTAGTTGTGATATGAACTAATACACATCAGACCTAAATAATGAAACATGAAGAGACAGACTCAGACCACACAAATATGAATGTCCACAGAGATCTTCCTGTGGCAGATTGCTTCTTTCCAATAATTTACAAATCTCTGAAAATAGTGGCAATGATTATTTTTTATGCATTCCAGCTAGCATACTCTTTTAATGTCATTGTCTAAATCTATCCTCAACAACCTTTTAATTTCACTAATAATATCACACATGAAAGAAGTTACAGAACTACAATTCTGATGTAAATCTAGGGAACCTTATAAGTATTCATGACAACGGAATATTTATTGTTTAAAACAAAACATGTGACTTCTTGGTTTCTATATCAAAGAGCAGTGATGGATGATGTTATGCTAACCAAACAATCCAGAGGGAACACAGATGTTTTACTATTCCCCCTCAAAAAGAGCAAAAGATTTCAAATTCACTTTATACGCATCTATGGAATGAAATGTTCGTAAGTAACATATAAAAAATATTCCACACTGCCAGTTAAATAATATATAAACCAAGTAACTACACATGACAAAGATTCTTTTCTATATTTAAAATTGCATGAGTGGCCTTCACACGTACAACGAGGCCTCCCTTTGTTCTCTGCTTTTCTGCATCCCTACCCCCAAATATTCTTCAGATAAGTTTCTAACCTTCTAGAACAAATTTAGTGTGCATGCGATGTATTCATAAAGAGTGTGAATCAGTTCCATCAGAAGTTTCCATTCTGCTGGTAGATGGTGTCTGCTATAGGATTACATATTTTAACAAATGATCCAAAGATCTGTTTTGAAGTTCCCTTAGTCCTTGCATTGGCAGCTGGTTCTCAGGTACATTAAAGCAGTATTGCTAAAAAGCTACATTAACATTGCATTAGAAAATCTTGGGTGGCAAATGAGAAAAAAGAACTTCATTGGCTCTCAGAAATGCCCTTCCCTCTATTATACGTCAAGCCCTCTCTGCGTGGATTTGGCCATCTGTTAAAGATATACATCTTTACTGAGGGCCTTCATTAAAAAATAAATGTCTTTTTATTTTTTAATCAATTTATAATATGTAGTATTTTTTAACAATTTTGTCTTATTGAAATGGCTTTCTTGTATCTTATATTTTATCTTATTTGGGATTTGCAGGGGAAGGCACAGGCATGGTTCTCTCAGTGTTCTCCCTACAAATATGTAAGAATCGGACCATAGAAACTGATTACAAAAATCAACATTTTTGGATGTTCTGTACAAAGATGTACAGAATAAAGGTTGGATATAAATCTAATAATAAATATATAAATAAATAAAGTTAAAATGGTAATATTATTAGAATAGTGGCCACCATTGCTCTTGGAATCTAGAAAATGCCCACTTCCTGGAGCCAGTATTTGTGCTACTGCAAATTTAGCCACTTGAATAAAAAACTTAATTAGATGCAGTTCCCTAGCATGGGATGCAATTTTGTTATTGTTGCCATATACTCATAGGAATGCATTGCTTGTGGGAATCAGACTTCTTTTAAACATACTGTATTTAATTTAATTTATTATTTATTATATTGTACTTTAGATTTTGCAGGTGACGTTTTGAGCTGCATTTTCCCAAAACTGCCAGATCCTAAGAAAGCTATGTAAAAAACTCCTCAGATACTAGATCCATTTATACGGACCTGTGTATACTTCTCTCAAGTGAGTATGTGGCTTGTCTCACTGTATGTGGCTCGTCTCACTGTATGTGGCTCCCACAGTGCAGTTCTAAAACATTAAGTATTCCAGTTTTTGCTTAAAATAAATTCTTTACCTCATAGTATAATTGTCAGGTGCGATAAAGTGGCAAAAATCAAATAAAAGATGAAACACAGAAAAAAGAAAAGAAAAGAAAACAGCTTTCAAAAGTGGAATATTCATTCGAATCTAAGAATTTTGGATTTAAACTTTTGTAGGGAGCAACAACCACAATCTGACTTAGCACAATTTAAAATTCACTGTGATAATTACTTGCAAACGAAACAGCCCAAAAATGCAATACTCATGAGAATACTCAACAGCTATCCAGTATCCTAATCTAAAAGCTCACATAGGCAAAATCTACACTAAAGTCAGTTCTCTACACTAAATCTACACTAAATCCAGGCATTATGCTAGTGCAAGTCTTTCCCAAAACCAGTTTTAATTAGTAGGTGCACCACAATAAACAGTATAGTATAATATCTTGCTCTATTGATAACACAAAACAAAACTCCACTGTTTAAAAACACTGAATCCCTTGCTCCTGTATATTTCATACAAGGTTTTAAAAAAGGTATTTCCTATTATTCCCTTCCATTATCCTTTTTAATTCTTTGTAATCAGTTTCAATCCCTTGCAGTCAGCTATATAATGTTGATGAAAACTCCTGGTCTGATTCTTCTTCCTTATACTAGGTTAATGTGGAATATTCTCAAGCAAGGTTTTACAAGACGAGCTGGGTTCAAAATCTTGAAACATATTGTACTTGATAGCATATACTGTGTAAGCCATGACTGCCCAGCAGACCCCTGACTAAATACAGACTGGATTACTCTTTTTTATGAGTAACCCTTTTTGGAATTAGATGAATAGAATAAATTTTAGTTGTGGCTTTCAGCTGGGATACAGTACTGAAAGTACCTAGGTGACTTTGGTGTTTGACATAGCCTAGAAAATGGATGAGATACTGTTGATCTATTTTCAACTCCTAGGCCTCTGACCTAGGGTATCTCACAGAGTTCCATCTTATCCCTCAGGCTGTTCAACTTCTACATTAAAGCTTTGGAAGAAATAACCTGGAAGTTTGGACACCCAGCTCTATTGCCTATTGGGCACAATTTAAGGTGTTGATATTGAACTTCAAAATCTTAACTGGCGTACGGCCTAAGTATTTAATACACTGCCTTATTATTACAAACCTATCAAAACTTGTAGCTGCCTTGAGTATTTGCCAGAGTAGAAAATGAGGAATAAAACAAATCAATAAATATATAAATTTTGGATTTTATGACTCTGCTATTGCTACCCCCAATCCTAATCATGATCCAGAACAGGTACATTTACCTGTACAAGGACCTGAACAAGCAATTAATAACATATAGTTGGTAAAAACATCTATATTTAAAAGCATAACAAAATGACCACAGTTAATCAGAATCCAGGAAGTAATATGGTTTCTGGGGATGCAGATGCATTGATTGCAGCAAGGAAGAGGACTATCCTATCTTCTCACTATTGCCTTGGACATGGAATCTTGGAATGAGGATAAATGTGGTTGGGTAGAGGGAAAACATTCTAAGTGGTATCAACCAAATTCATACATGTAACATACTGTATTTCTTCCCTACTTAGATTCTGAATTTCTTTCTTTCTTAGGTAAGATTTTGATGCAACACATTGGCATTCTTCCTGTTATTAGTGAGTTAGAGAACAACCTGAAGACATTACTGTAGAGTAACCACAGCAACACAAATCCTATAAAATGTGCTACCACTAGCAAAGTTATTGTGCACTTATTTTGGTTTCATCCTTTGCCACAAGTTGCCCATTGCCATAAAAGGTAAAGAGTCTCTTTTTATAAAGTTATCTTGATTTCAAAGTACAAAATAAGATCATGAACATATTGAGAAAACTTTTCAGACTATAAAACAAATCTCAAAACATGTATCTTATTACAAGTAAGCATGAAGAGGGGTTTGATATGGCATCATTAGTATATTTCTATAGAATGTTGTTTAAAAGAGGACAATATCCTCTGTAATACATAAAGTAATCATACCTGTTTTGTAGACTCTATATGGGATTTCTTTAATTATTTCTTAAGTTTACATGATATAAATGTTACAACTAGAATTTGATAATATAATGTGTAGTATTATATCCTGGAAGCAAATCTCATTTAAATCAATGGGATATACTTTAGAGGAGACATCTACAGGATTCAACTGTTTCTTGTACTGAGTAGATTCATGGAAACCAATGGGTCTTAAAGCCATGACTAAACTGAGTCACCATGATTTCAGTAGATATAATCTAAGTCTCACTTAGTTGAATTCTATTCAATCTAGAGTCCTAAAAATCTAGCATTAGATCCACAATTCAACTCTCCCAATGTTTTTAATTTACCAGAAAATGGTTTTCCATAAGGTGTTCAATATAAATTCTTAAGCATTTTTTCTAATTTGAACCAACCTCCCCTGTTTCTATTATATGCAAACAGAACAATGAACAAATTATTAGCTCTCTTTCTCCCATACTCCCATCCTCAAAACTTAAAGGATGTGATTTAGAGTGACTGGAAAGAAAGAAATTAAGACATTGTCTCCAGAGTTCCAGATCTTCATCTTTAAAATAGCTAATGAGAATGTTATTCAGTTAAATAAAATCTAGAGCTATGTCCTGATCAGAGATCATTTATACTTAGTCTCGTTTGATGCTCTGCTTATTCCTTGCAAGGAAAAACAATGTCCAGCTGTGAAATAAAATCTGAAAGAACTGCTCATTAGTCACCAAGAGGCTCTACAAACACTTTATTTAATATCTGATGTACTATTTACACTGGTCATGTCTTCTTTTTACTTGTTTTGCATATAGTCCAAGATTCTGTGCTTGCTGTTTTCTTATAAAAAATTCAGAAAGTTTAATTATACAGTTTTCCATTTGTTAATTTAAAAGGAGAAGCGATAATATAAAATTTCTCCAGCACCTGATCCTTTTTTATAGAAAAATTAGTGGATGTGAGAATAATTCTTATGCAACTCTTATAGTTAGAAAGATAGATAACTCAATTATTTGATCATTTATCAAAATATTCAGATGTATAAGAGGCTCTAAAAAGATTGATGACTGAGAAAGTCCACTGATTCTCCAGCCATCATATTTGTGCATTTGACTAGACAACATTTTTCGCTGGCTTCACAAGCAAGCTTCATTACCCATCACTCCACTGAAAAGAGTTTATTATGAGGCTGCCATCTTGGGGAGACTATTATTTAGATGATAAATGTTGGGAAGGGGAAAGTGTCTAGCCTTTTTTTAAAGATGAGCTTTGTGATAAAAAAACAAACAGCATCAACATTTCTAATTAACTTAAATTTGGCAGATATAAATACAGGTCTGTATAACTATGGTATGGTGCTGGAATAGCTATCTGAATTTTACAATTAATCTGTAAAATGTAAATTAACTAATTAGAAATGCTATACCTTTTATTAGTTCATTGCTTACTGACATTTATTAACAAGTGAACTTTTTATTTTAATTTAGGATAATTAACTTATCAATTTAACAAATTGAAAAATGTATGTAAAATATATCATATCATAGGCTTTCAAATAGTATACTCTTTTGTTCTTATTCAATTGTTACCTGGACTATTTAATTATGTGCATTCTGTTTCTAAAATCCACAATGCATTTTTTATGGATTTCATTTACAACTGTATACCTAGTGTATCCTACACATATTACAGGTAGTCTTCACTTAATGACCATTTGTTCAGTGACTGAAGTTACAACGGTGCTGAACGAATGGTAGTTACAACTGTCCTCAAAGTTATGGCCATTGCAGCACCCCCGCGGTCAAGTGACCATTTACGACTGGAGGGTGTGCCTCAACTCCCCCCACCTGCATATCTCCCCCCCATGTCTGCTCTTTTGGTCACCTTGCACTCCACCACCCCTGCTACCCTGCACTCTGCTGCCCTGCCGCCATCCACCCCAGCTGACCTTTTCCATCTTCTTCCTCTCGCTGGTGAGGCACACCTAGCCAAGGCAGCTGCTGGCTCTTTGCGACACGTCAGAATCCCTCCACAATGCTTCCAGAGGTGTGCCTTGTCAGCAGCAAGAGGAAGAAGATGGTGAAGGTCAGCTGGAGGGTGTGGGGCAGCAGGGGTAGATGGTGGAGTGCAGGGCAGCCAAAAGGGCAAAGATGGGGGAGATAGGCAGGTGGGGAGTTGAAGCAGAGGTGAGTGACGCAGGGTGGCAGAGCCTCGTATGCTGAAGAGAGCTCACTGGGACTGGCTGGGGAGGAGGCAGTAGGATGGAGCCTGCAATTTGTGCAGGACAGGAGAAGCATGAGGTCCTCATCTAATGAGAGTGCAGTCCTTGCTTAACGACCTCTAGCAGGACTACCAGAACTGCTGTCACTAAGCAGTGTGGTCACGTGATGTTTTGCCTAATGACCACTTTGCTTAGTGATGGAAATTCTGGTCTTAATTAGGGTTGTTAAGCGAGGACTACCTACATTATAGTTTTTTTAAATTATGCTGATTTTTTTTGTTCATATACATATTTTAAATTTCATAATTTGATAAGGAAAGCATTTATCAATGTGCATGGGAGATAGAAGGGAATGTAGCTAGGCCAGAATTTTAGCAAGCAAAATAATCTTCATATTCAAATCAAATCTTTATTACTGTCATAGACCAGCGTACAGAAGATGGGTTACAGTCATTGAAAAAGCATAAAGGATATATCAAGAGTAAAAAAAGGAAATCTAAATCTAAAAAAAATGTAAAAACTATTAAGAAAAGCTAGAAGATATAAAAGATATGAATTAAAAACTATGTGAAAAGTGAGAATCTAAAAGAATCTAAAAGAAGGGATAGGAGCATTAGATAGGTATAGGAGAGCATAAAAGGTTAGTATGTGGAAGACTATATCAAGTTACAAAGCACTCTAATATGGTGAAGTAGGTGCTTATTAAATGTAGTTTAATAAGCACAGGTCATCATGCAGCCAATTTTGAGAGTGGCAAGATTGTATGTTGTGGCAGGATGAAAGCAACAGGGTGATGTAAAATTGTCCTGTGTACCCTGGGTATTTGGAGAGATGATGGTGTCCTATTGGAGGCAAGCTGGCCTTGACTATATCCACTATTCCCAGCCCAGTTCTGTGCAAAGGCACTGTAGCACAGTAGCACTGAAACCTCAGTTTAAAACAGAGGTGGAGAAAACAACAGGAGCCAGTGTAAAAATTACAAAGCCCAAAAAGGAATGACAGGCAAGGTCCATTCTCTAAAAGGAAAAATGACAAGTCATGGGTATGCTTATGGACAGCCACTTCCCATTTTGTAAAATCACTGTATGTGTGTAAATGAGCATGCCAATAACTCTTCATAGTATATATTGTAGTATAGTAAATAAAATTGTTTCTACAATTTTTTTATGTAAAGGCTCAGTAAAAAGAAGAACACCCAAAATGCCAGATGTAAATGCCAATTAAAAATTACAAGAAACCCTGAAAGGTAAATTTTGTAGAGGTTGACATTCTCTGACACAGTGGATTGTCTGTGGCCAGGCCTTTGGCAAGCATAGTGGGATCTATGCTGTCAGCGTTTATTGTACATAAGCCTACATGTTTGTCTAATCTGAATGAGAAATACCAAGGAAATTGAAGCTGATGTCTTGCAGCAACAGAGATAGATGCTTAAGTGTTCTGTCAGGGTTGTAGGATAACCACCAATGATGTGACAATATTAAAGGAACAGAAAATAAAGGTAAATAATTTAAGCAACATAAGAAATCATGTTCTATTTTTTAAAAAAGAAAAGGAAAGGAACTTATAAACTATTCTCATGAATCAGACATGCCAATAAAATGCTCAGTAACAAAAAACTGGGGGAAACCCCCCCCCTGAAAATGATATTTATTGGCCAATGTAATCTTAATTACACATTTTGTGAATTTAATATTGTATTATCCTTAAGGCTGAAGCAAATGGTGCTATTTGGTTTCAAAGATGAAAAATATTATTTTGGCTTATTTAATTTTTTTATGGGAAGCAGTAAGCAAGAGTTTTAAAAATATAAACAATTATTTGCCACCATACATGTTCCAAAGAACAGTCTGCCCAAAATATCTGGACTGTCAGACATACAACTGTGCAATTTATTTCATGCATTATCCATTAAATTAAATGTTTGTATGTCTTTTGAATTAAGAAAACTATAATACTTACATCAACTTTAAACAAAGAGCAAGCTGTATATTCACATCACAAAGAAAAGCTCCACTGCAAGTGTTTTGGATTACAAACTTCCTTTGGGAATATTATAATTCATTTTCCATTGAGGAGATTCAAGATTATTTTTTCCACCACATCCCAGTGATTGCATGAAATAATACACAAATCCCAAATTCATCCCAGCCCATTTTCTAAAGCTACTAATGTTACAACAGGCATTTGTGTATAACAGAGATAAAATGGAAAATTTATGAAATTCCACAAGCAGCGGATAGCTTAACCAGTCCTTAATCCCTAAGTGTTGGAGTAAGGTCAGAACGTTTCAGTACCATGCCAGAGTGTCAAAATATGTCAACAAACCATCACACTGTGGGAAGAAGAATGACCTTTCAGATCTTTGTGTTTTGGCTGCCAATGAAGCTTTGGATACTGGGTACGCATGAACAGTTTTCCTAGATACTTGACAAATATAACTCCCAAGGTTTCTACTAGGTCTGTTAAGCCAATGCTTTAAAACCCTAAACTGCTAGTTATAGCCACTGTGCTAAAAAAAGAATGTTTCTTCTAAAATGTCCACATAATCTAACATTCATTCAATAAATCAGTTGATAACATTATTACCCAGGAATTCACTAGGTTAACTCAGTCTTTTTTGCATCAATTTGCAGCTACATTTCTGAAATGATTAATGATGCACAGGTATTTCATCTTCAATACGAAAGATGAGATTTTATTTTTATTCTTAGCCAATATGCAGAAAAAATAGTACTTTTATTAGAGGCAATTCAGCTGCAATTCTAACTCTACTTACTAGACAGCTAATTTTGAAGACGTGAGTTTGCAAGACAGCCTGCAAGTTGCAATCCTAAAACTAGATGTATAACAATCCACCTCTATTCAAAAGAGTACACATAGGATTCTAAACTTAGTATGTTGTAATTCAACTTCACATAATTTACTCCTGAGTATGCATATTTAGGATAATTCTACATGAGCTCTTTCTATAAAAAAACTTGGGTGGAGAGTAAATGAACACATTCTGACAATTCAGAGTACTGGAGTATTTTTTTCAGTATTTACTGTAAGATTTTATGACAGTGTATTTGCTGCATAGTAAGGTGTTTATTGATTACAGCGATCCATTCATATATTATAGCAGAATATCCAAAAAGTGCAATTTTGCAAAGGAAGTTAACTACAGTTAATTACATTATCACGCACCACTGATACTGTGTATTACAGCTGTACAGCTCTATGGATTTCAAGCAGAAAGTGTTTTGGAGGGAGTATGAATGAGTATGCCACACCTACTGGTTCATTCTTAAAGAAACTTTTTTCACCTCATACAGTAACTGCACAATCCCAGGAAAATATGTATCTGAGATAAAGAAACACCAACAATGCTCCCACACTCATTCCAAAGCACTTTTGGTGCCTCCTGCAAATGTGTATTTTCCTGGGATGAAGGTTACCACATGAGCTCAGGAAAAAACACAGTGTCTTTAAAGAGGAGCCACAGGTGCAATGTGGGTGCCCATGACTCCTTCAAAATACCTTTTCTGTTTCAGATCTGATGTGTTGCACATTCCTCTTGTACATGCATGAAGTAAGAAGTAAAATAATCAATACTGAATAGCACACTAAAATTTTGGAGCAACCAATCTGTAGTTTCTTCACCCACAACCTGTAAGAATCTCAAATTTCAGCACCAGGATTGAGTCAGTAATGGAGAAACTGAACATCTGGTGCTATTCAAATTAGATGGTGCTATGCTAGAGAGGCCAATGGCCCTATTTGATATTAGGCAAAAAAAAAAAAAAAAAGACTCATGGTCCACAGTAAGTTAATATTTAGAAATCTGCTAATTCTTCTTATTTTTCAAAAACTGGGGGTTACATTGGACCATATATTGGCTCTATAACCTAGTGCTAACCAGAGTAATTACAGCAAAGACAATCATTTCAATTCTTTTCAAAATGTATATACTGCTTTTCTTTTCTGTGGCAAGATGAAACTAGCAAAACTAACAAGTGCAATGTACTAATACTGAAGATAATAGTGCAGATATAGTCTCTATAAACCATAAAAATGAGGATATACCTGTTCCAGTAACTCCAAAACTGGTCATTTAAGTATGCTTGATGGCTGCATTCATCACCAAAAGAGGCTTTGCTTTCAATCCAATGAATTATGTGACCTTCTACAGCTAAAAGAAGAAAAAGAAAAACATTACTCTTGTAACTTGAATTTGAGATTTTTAAAAGATTCCCAGATCACAGAAAATGAAGACAAAAATAAAATTTACTGAAGTGTGAAATTATTCAGATTAAAACTTTCTGAAATAGATAGCCTAGATCTTTAACCCAGAGATATATCTATGTTAAGCATATTTTAACCTTTAAGGGTACTTACTTATTTAGAGATAAAATAAATATGTGAGAAAGACAAGCTTATGAACAAATGCTTGTTCACTTTGTTCTGTTAGAAGTTGTACTACAAAAATGACAAAATAAAATAAAATAAAAATAATGACAAAGGAACACTTTCCTATAGAAGTACTGCCATCAGTTGGATCTTAGTTAAATATGTGGAAGAAGATAAGATATTGCTCAGCATTTGTTTTCACACTGCTGAACTATTTGCATTAGGACGTTGATTGAATGACTATGTGCTGTCAAGTTGGTGTTGACTCTTTAGTGACCACATAGATAGATTTCCTCCATGACAACCTGTCCCTAACCTGTTCCTTCATGTCTTCTAATAGTGTACCTATCGCCATGGTAACTGATTCCATTCACCTTTCTATAGATCGTCCTCTTCTTCTCTTTCCTTCCACCTTTCCTAGCATTAGAGATTTCCAGAGAGCTAGGTCTTTATGTAATGTGTCCAAAGTACAATAATTTGAGCCTGGTCATTTGTGTCTCCAGTGAGAACTCTGGGGTGATCTGTTCAATGATAATTTTTTTGTTTCCTTGGCTGTCCATAGTATTTTCAGGAGTCTTCTCCTGAAAATCAAAATTCAAAAGCATTGATTCTCTATCTTGCTTCTTCAGCACCTGCTCATGTTTTTGATGCTGTAAACGAGCTCCTCCACTTAGCAATAATATAAGGGGGCGGCTGAGACCTTGGATCAGATTGCCCTCATGCGACCTCTCCCCTCCCGTGGATTCCATTACTCCCCTGATTTACAGAGGAGCTGAGGGAGATGAAATGAGAGAAGAAATGTCTAGAACATTGCTGGTGCTCAACCAAGGATGGGCTTGACCACACACAGGTTAGAGCCACTATTAAGGCCTACCTTGTGGTGGTAAGGGCAGCGAAGTGACAGTACTTCTCCGCCCTTATTGCATCTGCAGATTGCTGCCCTGCAGCCCTGTTTTGGGTGACACATGCCCTCTTGGGTAAAGGGGGGGGCATTTTTACAGGGGCGTGCAGCAGAATTTGCTCAGCATCTGTCAGATATAATCGCTCAGATTCACTCAAAGCTGGACTCCAGCTTTGTTGCAGGTCCAGAGGAGATGCCTGGGGTGGAGTCTTGCCAGGTTATCTGGGAACAGTTTGAACCTGTTGGATCCGAGTAAGTGGACATGGTCCTTCAAGCTGTGAGCTCAGCTATCTGCTCCATAGATCCATGGCCCTCCTGGCTTGTGAAAGCAGACCGGAGGGTGTCGTGTGAGTGGGCTCTAGTGGTGATCAATTCTTATTTGAGGGAGGGAGTTGTTCCTTTGCCTCTTAAAGAGGGTTTGGCGCATCCCCTCCTCAAGAAGCCATACTCGCTAGATCTCACCATACTGGACAACTTTTGTCCAGTATCTAACCTCCCTTTTTTGGGTAAGGTGGTTGAGAAGGTGGTTGCACAACATCTTTAGAGGTCCTTGGATGAAACAGATTATCTGGATCCTTTTCAGTCAGGATTCAGACCTGGAAACATGGGACAGAAACAGCATTGGTCACATTTTTAGATGATCTCTGGCATGGGCAAGATGGACGTTCTGCATCCATCCTTGCCCTACTTGACCTCTCAGTGGCTTTTG